ATGTGGCGTGCAAGCATAAATGATAAAGCCCGGCGCACACGTGAGTTATTTTACTCAAGTATTGAAGTAAAATGACGCACGAGTCAAATTACTCAACGAAAATCCGCCGCACACGTGAGTAAAATGACTCATGCGTCATTTTACTTCAATACTTGAGTAAAATAACTCACGTGTGCGCCGGGCTTTATCATTTATGCTTGCACGCCACATTACTTTTAGAGAATTTGAAATTTAGGAGGACCATCTAAATTTCAAACTAAATCGTCCTGTCTCTTTTTTTGTCCTTATTTCTACCCCTGCCCCTGGTACTGTACCAGTGTATGATGTATCAGGAACTGCCCGAGGAAGGATTTTCAAGGGACCATGGCATTGCAATTGCCAATGCCAAATTGAAATCGCAATCAATATCAATATTATCACATATAAAGGATTATGGGAATTTTGTAACCGAGTTTATAATAATAACTACCTTCCTTCTCTGACCATAGTTCAGATTTTTGCTTGGTAAATTACTAATTTTAGTTAGACACTGCAAAAGTTTGTTGAGTAAAACTAAAAAATGGCGGCTGATAGAGCTCCACTCGTTTTACGACTTTTAAACTTGTGATAAATTATGGCTTGTACTGCGCATTTTAACGGAAATTTCAAGACATTAATATGTTTAGCTAGTATATAGAAATTATTGTCTTAGGTGATAAAGAAATATTTTTATTTTATTGTTTTTATTTTGATTTTTGTTGTCGCAAATATATGAAAGTAGTCGTTTACGGCGGTCATGCTGCATAGTGGTGTGGTGTTAAAATCGAAAATTTGTTGTTTCCTGACGTTGAAATCTTTATTTTGACCGTAAGCTATAATTGTGTATAATCAATTGTAGTTATAGAGACTATTTCAATTGTAGCGTCCAATTTGGGACCGATAGGTTAATTAATTTAATTGCGTTTGAGGTTTATGACATGATCAGTCAGATCACGGTGATGTCAACTTTGCCATGCTCTACAGAGGATAGTACAGTACAGACTGTACACACAGTGTACTCACTGTACAGTGTACTGTAGCCTGTAGGTGTATCATCAGTGGTTAATAATAAAAAAATTGTCATTTTTGACAAATTTGTCATTAAGTCCTGGTATCATTAATTGTATAATTGAATGTATGAATTGAATAATAGAATATCCGCAGTGGCTGGAGGTACGGTAGCCGTCGGTCGTTGAAGCCCCTTTTTGGCGTTAGGGTTAGGGTTAGGTTTAGGGTTAGGGTTAGGGTTCTAGCTCATCTAAACTCAAATCGTGAATTTATTTCCCAAGGCGTTATTTCGAAATCTGGCGCCACCGCCGCCATCTTTGTGTCGTTAAGTATGAAAGCGAATGGACTCCCGTACCCGTAGCCTTGAGACATTAAGATACGGCTACCGTACCCGTAGCCACTGCCTAGAATATCCTGTTCTACACCTCTAATCCGATGGGTAATGCTATCCCCCGGGCGTGGAGGGAGGTGACCGCAACGTGGCAGCACTAGTGCTAGGATTAGGGTTAGGTTTAGGGTTAGGGTTAGGGTTCTATTTAAACTCTCAAATCATGA